CAGAGCTTGGCCAAGCTATCAGGCCAGTTGTTGCCCGAGTCGGCTTGGAAAGATTTCGGGGAACGCATGGGGGAGCAAGGGGAGGAGGAGGGGGAGGATGAGGAAAATAGAGGAGGAGGAGCAGCAGGATGAGGAGGAGGAGGAGGAGGAGGAGGAGGAGGCCTCTTGGGCGCCTCTTGGGGCACTCTTGGGGCCTCCTGGGAGCTTCCTGGGGGCCTCTTGGAGGGTTTGGGGTGGCCTTTGGGGGCTTCTGGGGGGCCTCTTTGCCTGTCTTAGGGCGTTCCTGGCTTGTCTGACGCCGTCGGAAGCCGTCTTGGGGGCCTGTCTGGGTCGTCTTGGGGCCCTCTTGAGGCATATCAGGGGTTCTTAGAGGCCATCTTGGGCCTTTTGGGCCGTCATGGGGCCATCTTGGAGGCCTCTTGGGCGATCTTGGGGGCCTCTTGCGCCGTCTTGAGCCGTCGGAATACCGAGAAGGCGAAAATTCCAAAATCCTTCAAACACCTAAGGAACATCTACGATTTTGGCCTCTTCGGGCCCTCCTGGAGAACCTCTTGGAGGCCTCTTTTGGGCCGTCTTGGAGGACCTCTTGGGGGCTTCTTGGGCCGTCTTGGAAGCCTCTTGGGGGCCTCTTGGGCCGTCTTGGGCCATGCCGTCTTGGAGGCATCTTGGGGCCATCTTAGCCGTCTTGGATGCCATTTTGGCCGTCCTGGAGGCCTCTTGGGCCCTCTTGGGGCCGTGTTGGGGGCCTCTTCGGGCCCTTCTGGAGGACCTCTTGGAGGCCTCTTGGGCCGTCTTGGAGGCCTCTTAGGGGGCCTCTTGGGCCGTCTTAGGCCATCTGGAGGCCATCTCAGGCCGTCTTGGGTGCATCTTGGGCCGTGTTGGAGGCATTTTGGGGCCATCTGACGTAGCAGTCTTGGAGGCATCTTGGGCGTCTTGGGGGCCTCTTAGGCTGTCTTGGGGACCCTCTTGGAGGCATCTTGGGGGCCTGTTGGGCCGTCATGGGGCCATCTTGGAGACCTCTTGGGCGACCTCCGGGCGATCTTGGGGGCCTCTTGGGCCGTCGGAAGGCCGAGAAGGCAAAAATGCCAGAATCCTAGAAAAACGTTTGAAAAATTAATGATTTTGGCCTCTTCGGGCCTCCCGTGAGGCTCTTGGAGGCCTCTTGGGCTGTCTTGGAGACCTCTTAGGGGGCTCTTGGGCCGTCTTCTTTGGCCATCTTGAGGCTATCTTATGCCGTCTTGGGTGCATCTTGGGCAGTCTTGGAAACATGTTGGGGCCATCTTAGCCGTGTTGGAGGCCATCTTGGCCGTCTTGGAAGCATCTTGGAGGCCATCTTGGGCCATCTTGAGCGAAACATTGGGGAATTGAGATCCTGGGCAATCTTTCCGGGTGGCTGGCGGGACGGGCCGAAGGCCCCGGGGGAGTTCTTTTGGAAAAAGAACCAATACAAAACCGAAAGGGTACAGCACGCCAGGCACCCTTGCGATGAATCGACAGAGGGCGGCAGATCGAAGACGCCTACGGCGAATCACCGCCGCCCCCTGCCTTTTTGGAAACGCCGATGTGGCCGAAAGTTGGACTAGAGCTTGGCCAAGCTATCGGACCATGAGTTCCCCGAGTCGGTTTGGAAAGCTTTCGGGGAACACATGGGAGAGAATGATTATGAACAGGAAGAGGAAGAGGAAGAAATAGAGTAGGAGGATGAGGGTTGTTAGGAGTCTCTTGGGGCAGCCTCTTCGAGGCCTCTTGGAGGCATCTTGGGGGCCTCCTTGGGCCTCTTGGGGGCCCTTCCTGGGGTCTTGTTTGGGGACGCCGTCTGGAGCCGTCTTGGGGGCCCTCTCTGGGCCTCTTGGGCCGTCTTGGGGCGCTCTTGGGGCCGTCTTGGGGGGCCCTTGGGCCGTCATAGGGCCTTCTTGGAGGCCTCTTGGGCGATCTTGGGGGCCTCTTGGGCCGTCGGAAGGCCGAAAAGAAGAAAACGCAAAAAACCTTCAAAAACCTAAGGAAAACCAATGATTTTGGCCTCTTCGGGCTCTCCTGGAGAACGTCTTGGAGGCCTCTTGGGCCATCTTGGAGGCATCTTGGGGCCATCTTGGCCGTCTTGGAGGGCATCTTGGGCCGTCTTGGAGGCATCTTGGAGCCATCTTACCCGTCTTGGAGGCCATCTTGGCCGTCTGGGAGGCATCTTGGAGGCCATCTTGGGCCATCTTGGCCGTCTTGGAGGCCATCTTGGGCCAAGTTGGGGCAACAAAGGCATTGACAGACGGATTTTGGGAAAATTACGGGTGGCCGGCGGGACGGGCCGAAGCCCACTGGGGAGTTCTTTTAGAAAAAGAACCAAAACCAAAACCTGAAACATCCAGCACGCCGTGCACCCCTGCAAGCAGGGGGCGGCGGATCGAAGACGCCTACGGCGAATCACCGCCGCCCCCTGCCTTTGTGGAAGCGCCTATGTGGCCGAACGTTGAGGCCAGACCTGCCAAGCCATCGGACCATGTGTTCCCCGAATCGGTTTGGAAAGCCTTCGGGGAACACGTGGGCGTCTTGATGGTCATCGTCGCCGTCTTGGAGGCCTCTTGGGCGATCTTTCGGCGATCTTTGGGGGCTCTTGGGCCGTCTCGGGCCGTCGGAAGGCCGAAAGAAGGGAAATGCCCAAATCCATCAAAAACCTTGGGAAAATCAGTGATTTTGGCATCTTTTGGCCTTCCTGGAGGCCCTCTTGGGGGCCTCTTGGGCCCTTTTGGGCCAGCTTCGAGCCAACTTCGGCCATCTTGGTGGGTTCCTGGCACGTCTGACGCCGTCGGGAGCCGTTTTGGGGGCCTTTCTGGGCCAACGGGGGACCCTCTTGGGGCGCTCCAGGGCCGTCTTGGAGGCCATCTTGGGCGTCTTGGAGGCCATCTTGGGCGTGTTGGAGGCCTCTTGGGCCGTCTTGGGGCCCTCTAGGGGCCATCTTGGAGGCCACTTGGGCCATCAGGGGGCTCTCTTGGGGGCCTCTTGGGCGATCTTGGGGGCTTCTTGGGCCGTCTTGAGCCGTCGGAGAGCCGAAAAGGCGCAAATGCCAAAATCCTTCAAAAACCAAGGGAAAATCAATGATTTTGGCCTCTTCGGACTCTCCTGGAGGACCTCTTGGAGGCCTCTTGGGCCGTCTGGGAGGCCTCTGGGGGGCCTCTTGGGCCGTCTTGGGCCGTCTTGGACTCTCTTGGGCCGTCTTGGAGGCCGTCTTGGACCATCTCGGGCGCACTTGGAGGCCATCTTGGGCCATCTTCGCGATTTTTTGAGGATGTCCCGAGCGAAACGGCCGTTTTTGGGCACGGTGGCGGGACGGGCCGGAGCCCACTGGGGAGTTCGTTTGGAAAAAGAACCAAAACCAAAACCTGAAACATCCAGCACGCCGTGCACCCCTGCAAGCAGGGGGCGGCGGACCTAGTGGCCTTCGGCCCATCCCGCCACCGTGCTTGGGTTGTGGGTCTGAGGCCTCTTTTATATGTGTTGGGGTGTCGTGGGGAGCCTTTCGGGTTCCTCTTGGACTCTTGGAGGCGGTTTGGGCGCTGCTTGGGGGCCTCTTGGGGCCTCGTGGGGGTATCTTTCTTGGAGGCCTTGGGCGCGTCTTGGGCGCCTCTTGAGGCCTCTTCTAGGAGATCGTGGCTTTGAGGGCGCGAATGCGGCGCGATTTGCAAGGGATTGTGGCTTCGGGGGCGCGAATGTGGCGTAACTTACGCGGGATCGTGGCCTCGGTTGCTCGAATGTGGTGTAAGTTGCAGGAGATCGTGGCCTCGGGGGCGCGACTGTGGCGTAATTTACAGGGGAACGCGGGCCCAGAGGCGAGAATGTGGTGTAGTTTATGGGGGATCGTGGCTTCAGGAGCGTGAATATGGAGTATTTCACGAATGATCGTTGCTTCGGGGACGTGTCATTCAAAAGGGATCTTGGCATTGGGGGCGCGATCATACAGCGTAATTTATGGGGGATTATTGTGTCGGGAACGCGAATCTCATGTATTTTTACGTGTCCCACGTCCCCCCAGACATTCAGAGCACACGATTCGGGGTCGCTACCCAGGGTCCTTTTCGGTCCCCCCTTCGGGCGGACAGTAACAATTTACAGTGGGAAGCCGAAAGCAATACTGTAACATTGGAAACTGGAAACTGGGACTTGTGCAGGGAGCAGCAAACCTAAGCCTCGCAGCCTGATGGCCCCGCAAAGGAGGCCGGCGGATTCGTAGGGGGTCACCTGTGTCCATTATCGTTTACTTGGCGCTCGCTCTACGGTTGTCAGAAAGTGCGGCAACAGAAAACGACACAACAACAACAAATAATACCGCCCCAAAAGTGGGCCGAAGAGGGCCCCGAGAGGGCCCCGAGGCGGCCCACGCCCCCCAAGACGGCCCGAGGGGCCCCCAGACGGCTCCAAAGGCCTCCAGAGGGGACCCCCAGAACGGCCCGAGGAGGCAATACACATTGATAGGCCCTTCGGTTGTTCATTCCTTATGTTATATATATATATGTATGTATGAATGTATATATATATGTATATATATACACATATATAATATATGTATCATACTATATCTTGCGTTTTCTGCTTCTCTCCTTCCTTCTTTCGGTTTTCTTTCGGTGTCACCTCAACATACTTACACTATATGCGCCTCGCCTCCCGCCAGGGGCGGGCACCGAGAAATCTTATAGTATATGCCTCGTGGTGGGCTCTTTCTGGCCGCACCGCTCGGGAAACGATAGATATTACAAGACGGGCACACTATGTGTTCGGGTCGGACGCGCGCCTCCAAGGAGGACACACAGTACTAGCATGTCTCTGTGCGCCCCACATCGCGCACCCAGGTGGACTGGTTGCCAGAGCTTCCGCGGCCGCCTCGCCCCCCCCCCGTCCTTCCCCCCCCTTGCGCGCCAGCCACTTCGCGTCCCGGCCGCCCTGGATCGCCGCCCGCTGGCGCAGCACCTGCCTCGCCGCCGCGGCACAAGATGCGTGCCGGCGCTCCCCGCGAGGCCCTCCCGCTCGGCGGCTCGTCCTGCAGCTTCGGCGGCCCCGACGGGTGCCCCGCCCAGGACGTCCCGCGGCACGCTCCTGCCGCGCGCCCGCGCCTCCGGTGGCTGGGGCGGGCGGTCCAGGGCAGCGGCAGGGCCCCAGGAGTTTCTGTCGGGCACGTCCCTCTCCAGGAGGAATCTTCAGAACTAGCCCCAAAACTGGTCTGGGGACGATGGTTCCGTGCTCTTTCGCCGATGATCTTGAGTATTTTGTCGTGACTGCTTTCCGTTCTTCACTTCCAAACTCTGCCTGTAGGAGGACATGTCCGACCTAGCCCTGTAGGTCTGAGGGCGCCAACCAGGCACCCACACCGCTTCGGGCCAGGTCGAGCCTGGGCTCTGAACATCGGTGTGTGTGTGTGTGCTTCAGTCGGGCCTGTCCCTCCTACAGATGGAATATCCAAAAATAGTTGAAGAACTGGTATGGGGACGATGCTTCTGGTAGCTTTGGGCATTTTTTTGACTTTTTTTTAGATTATTCGTCCAAAATCCCCCTGCAGGAGGACACGCCCGACTTAAGTGTGTGTGTGTGTGTGTGTGTGTGTGTGTGTGTGTGTGTGCGTGCCTTCCTGCCGACTCCAGGAGGGCGCGTAGGCACCGAGCCTGGGCCCGGGGTGACGTCGGGCCTGTCCCTCTACAGGAGGAGTAGTCAAAAATTGTCAAAACATAGTCTGGGGACGATTTTCTGCGCATTTTTGTGCTATGTTTGGATATGTTTTGGCTATTGTTTGTTTCTCCTCAAATCCGCCTGTAGGAGGACATGCCCGACCTGAGCCCGGGATGGTCCTGGCCAGGATCGGTGTAGGCATTTGGTGCCCTTTCTCTCTCACTGAGGGCTTGGCGACTTTTCTACGACCGATTTGCGGGGTTCAGTCGAAGAGAGTAAGGCATGTGCAGAGAAATCGAGGCACATCCAGGTAAATCCCGATAGATCCCAGAACATGCCGAAGATCTCCATGTAATTCCCGAGCACGTCGTGGCCGCTAGAGCGCGAGTCGAGGGACGGCAGACGTCGTTAAAGCCCTTACCGATAGGAGGGGGCAGGATCAGGTCGAAGAAAAAACACCGGCACAACCATAAACTTCAGAGGTCCGCTCGGATGTCTTGGAATCCCACACGCCTTTCCGCGGCTTGCTGATCGCTCGCCCATCACGCTCCAATCGCACTTTGGTGCGCCCCCCGAGATCCTTCGGCTCAGCGATCTGGCCCCTGAGCGCCTCCATGGCGACTGGGGAGGCGAGGACTACTGAACTGATGGATTTCGGTGTGCCGGGACGCCGAAATCCATCAGCTCGGTAATCCTCGCCTCTCCAGTCGCCGTGGAGACGCTCAGGGGCCAGATCGCCGAACTGAAGGATCTCAGGGGGCGTATTTGGCGTCGCTCTTCCCGGCATCCCGTCCTCCCCGTGCTCTCTCCCCCCGCACCAGCACGCCACCGGCTATCCCACTCACGTCGCTGCCTTGCCCCCGCTGTCTCTGCTGCCGCCCTCGCGTCGCCAGTCTCGCTGCCCTGGGGCCAGTGAGCTCTCAGCGTGCCTCCTCCTCTTCCTCCTCCCTCCTCCTCCTCCTCCTCCTCCCCCTCCTCCTCCTCCTCCTCCTCCTCCTCCTCCTCCTCCTCCTCCTCCTCCTCCTTCTCTCCTCCCCCTCCTCCTCCTCCTCCTCCTCCTCCTCCTCCTCCTCCTCCTCCTCCTCCTCCCTCCTCCCTCCTCCCTCCTCCCCTCCTCCTCCTCCTCCATCTCCTCCTCCTCCTCCTCCTCCTCCTCCTCCTCCTCCTCCTCCTCCTCCTCCCTCCTCCCTCCTCCCTTCTCCCTCCTCCCTCCTCCCTCCTCCCTCCTCCAGGTAGAAACAGGCTCACAACTTCTGTTCGCCATTACTTCTCTTCTCTCGGTCCACCTGCAGGTGGGCACTAGCGGTTGGCTGGAGCATCCTCTCCCCGCCACTTGGCTCCCCTCTGCTCCCCCTCCGTAGCCATTTTGGCTCAAGTCTCAAGCCCTTCTGGCCCAAGCATTCTGCTGAGCCAGATCACCTTGTGCTGTTACCATTTGTGTGCTGGCTTGAGAGCCTCCTTCTGGAGGTTAAAGCAAGGTCTCACGATTCTTTCACCACCTCAGCCATGGCGCCTGCGTCCAGTGCTGTGGCTCCTTGGAGGCGCACTGCAGCTGCTCCTGCTGACGACGACGCCGCTTGGACCGCTTTCTCGGCTAACGGGAAGACGTGGACATGTGGCAGTTGCGGTTGCAAACGTAACAAAAGGTCGTGGTGGTTCTGCAAGCATTGCAAGAAGTACCGTGCTGCACCCGACCCCGACACGTATGCCCCCCCCTCGTGGGGAGGCAGTTGGCACTCGAGCGGGGCGGGAGGACACAGCGGCTGGCCTGGCCTTCCGCTACGTTCTGGACCTCAGTTCGACTCGAATGCAGGTCGTCTCGGAGGCGGAGGCGGTGCTGGTCAAGGCTGGGGTGCGCCTCAGCCCGTGGATCACGGCAACACCTCCATTCCCGAGTTGGAGAATTTGGTGGATATGCTCACGAAGTGCGGTGACACGATGGGGGCGAGGAAGCATCAGTCCATCCTGGACCAGAAGCGCCGTGCTGCTGCAGCCCCAGCTGTTCCGCTGCAGGCCAAGGTCAACAAGGCGTTCCATGATCTTCGCCAGCTTCGTGAGCGCACCGACAAGGCCTGCAATGTCTATGAGAAGATGGAGGCTGAGTTGGCTGTGCAGCGGAGCCGAATTCAGACCCTCACGAATGAGCTCAAGCAGGCGGAAGAGGTGCACACGGCCCTGGTGGAGCAGCTTCACAAAGAAGTCGCACCCCCTTCGGTTCCAGGCCCGCCTCCCGCCGCTTGTTTGGACATTGCGGCCATCATCCAGGGCAAGGCTGAGGAGATCCCGATTTCGATCGACTCACTGCTGGCTCCTCAGCACGACTACGAGATCGCGGGCGATGACCTCGAGGAGGCAAATCGCAGGGCGCAGGAGCTCAAGCAGTCTCTTCAGGATGCAGTTCGCAAGTTGTTCGGAGATGCGCTGGTCAGGGCCAAAGCCTTCCAGGCAGACCAGAAGAAGATGCTCGAGAGGCTCGCTGCCAAGAGGAGGCGCCAGGACGGAGACGAAGCAGCAGAGCCAGCCGCGGGAGACGGGGATCCCGTTCCTCCTGCCGCCGCCGCCGCCGCGGGGGGCGACAGCGGGGCTGCTGCTGGAGCTGCCTCCTCAGCCCCCCTGGCCGAGGCGCCAGGGGACAGCGTTGCGGCAGATCCTGATCGCGCAGATGCTCGAGCTCGTGCTGAACGCCTGCTGTCACAGGCTTCCCCCCCCGCAGCCGAGGGGCAGCGGGGGGGCACCGCGACAGCCTGACCATGCTCGCCCGAGCCACATCGACGGTCTTGGGCCCGTTTTTGCGGGCCAGCCGTCTTACTTGTCTAACTTTAGTCTCTCGGCCTCTCGGCCTCACCTCCGTCGTTTCCTCCGCTCCCGTGGTGCGTGTCCCTCAGGCTGTGGCCTGAAGGCTGCTGTTCGTCACACTCGCTGGAGGGCCAAACGAATTTTGTCTGGTGATGGTCAGAGGTTCGACTCCCTGCAGGTTTCCCTTTCCAAGCCTGCCGATTTTGCTCGGCCTTGCCCAGCTTACCCAGTGTTAGCTGCGCCTGGCTCTCAGTGCCCGATTGAGGTGGTGCCAGGCCCCAGGATCTCCCAGGCTCCCCTCCCGTGCTCTTACCCTGCCCCTCCTGGCCTCCTGGAGCCTGAAGGGATGAGCTCGATCGCTTTGTCTGTCCGAACCCTCAACTGCAACAGTTGGGGCACCCTTAAGAAGATGTTACCTCACACGCCTTCAGCGGTCCTGATGGTGCAGGAACACAGATTGGCGGGTAGTGAAGAAGTTGCCCAGGCCTCCTCCTGGTGTGCCCGTAATGGCTGGAAATCGTTGTGGACCCCAGCTACTCTCACGGATAAAGGCACGTCAGGGGGCACTGCTTTGCTTGTGAAAAGCTGGCTTGGTCTGTTTCCCCCCCCTTCTGGACACGCTATCGTTCCTGGTCGGGCCACTCACGGGATCATTCAGGTTCCTGGTGGTCTCAGCTACCACATGTTTTCGGTTTACCTGCATGATGGGGAAGGTTTGACTGAGCGTAATCTGGAGCTCTTGAGTTGCGTTGGCGCCTGTGCTACTACGAGCTGCTCCTGTTTTGTCGTGGGAGGAGACTTCAACGTCTCTCCTTGCGAGCTGGAGAGCAGCAAGTTTGTCTCCCAGCTTCAGGGCCAGATCATCATTCCTGGAGGTCACACTCATTTTGGTCAGGGGGCCCCCTCCACCCTTGACTACTTCGTTTGCAGTGGGGGGCTTGGAAAAGCCGTGGACTCCTGCTGGATCGATCTGACGACGGAGCTTAGTCCCCATCGTCCCGTGGAGCTTCAGTTCCACCGATCCCCTGCCACCCTCAAGGCCTTCAGTTTTAGGAAGCCACCGCCGCTGCCGAGAGATCGAGTCATTGGTCCGATGCTTCCCCCACCGTGCTGGGATCATGTGATCTCGCGAGCTCAGGCTGGTCTTGATGCTGTCGCCGCAGGCGACGCCGAGGCTGCCCTCAGCCACTTGTCGCCGGCCTATGGAGCGTGGGCAGATAAGGCTGAGGAGGAGCTGGTCCACTTGTTGGGGGCGGATCTGGTGAAGGCAGGATGCAGGAGCAAGGGGCCTCAGCTCGTGTGGCGCAGCCTAGTGGGCCGAGATTCTCAGCCAAGGTATCCCGAGCACCGCGCCATCTGCTGGCTGGTGGCTCAGTTTCGCGCTTTTATGGGGCTGCTGCGGGCCGACCAAGGTTGTGGGAGCCAGGCCGCCAGCTTGCATGCTTTGCTTGCTAGCCCTCCTCCCGCGATTTCTCGGCACTCTAGCAAGTATGCCTCTTCATTCAGCCGTGTTAAAGATTTTACTGCTGCTTTGCAGGGCGATCTCCGCCAGGCCCCTTCTGAGCAAATTGTGAAAGGTGATGAGCTCCCGTGCACCCTCATCACTGTCTTGGAAGGG